TGGGGACTTCTGATGTTGTTTTCCCTTCCTGATTGCTCGCTACTCTTCTGTTTCCTGCAAGCGAGGCGAGCTGTCGACTAGGCGTTGAGCAGGCACAGGCTTGCCTCTGAATTGCTATGATTATATTCCATTGGGTAAAGTCCAATTTACACCCTTCAACTTTCACCAAAGTCCGGATTTCAACCTCGAACTTCAAAACCGGACAACTTTGACCCTCCAACTCTAAAAAAAGTTCAACTTTCAACTTTCTGGACGGTTTTGTGGGTGAACAGTAACTTTTGATATTTTCGGGAGCGCCGAAATTTTATATTATTTTTTCGAGCATCTTAACGTCCTCAAATGAAAAAAACTCAAAAACTACAAAGTTATAGATCTCATCAAGGTCTACAATTTACATATAAAAATTATCTTCATCCGACAATAGTTAGATGGTGTATCCACAAACGTACAAACATATAGAGCGTACCTATAGAGTGTTCAACAGACCAATGTTTCTCAAGCCTTAAGCCTTGCTATCCATCTATATAGAACCGATGCAATACAAATGCCTGCAAAACTGAGGCAGATTTAAATATCGGGAAACGAAGTACATGTCCTAGCTCGCTAATATGGGACTACTTGGATAGCAAAAAAGAAAAGAAGCACTTCTTATACTGCCAAATTATTCATGCATCAGCCACCAAAATGCAACATAAATATATGTTGAAGACAGAACATGGGCTAATAGTGTGTAACCCAATGTTCCTATAACCTCACTTTCTCAGTTCACACGGCATACTGAGTAAAAATGTTTCAAAACATAGCAACAACACAAATCGACCATAATATGCAGTCATCACCTTGTATGATGCTAAATTAAGAAGAATTGGTTTGTTTTCACTTTTCGGCAGCATATGAGATAGACCAGAAAATTTGGTTAGAGGTGCTTGTGTATCTGCAAATAAAGAAGCAAGAATTAAATTTCCAACTTACGGCACATAGGAAGCCATTTGCACACAAAAAATATGTGAGTATTCTATGGCAACATCCAGGAGGCACGTATAAATAATACACTTTTTTTTGTAGCAGAATCAAAAGGTGCAATAGTGCTAGGATGGTTGCCAAACACAAAAACAGTGAGCGTGATGTATAAGTTGTAAACACATGTTATAAAATTAACTACAGAGATCACATAGTACAAATGAACCAAAGTCCTAAACACACTACGAAGAAGTCTACACCGATGCATTCATGCAAGTGAAAATAAGATAGAACTAAATGCTACAGGAGAGTGCAACATACATCTGAAAGCTGAAATGTTTCGCACCCCCAACTTGGTATGAATAGTTTTGTCTGCTCCAATGCAGTCCCTAGAAGAAGCTGTAGAAGTGACCTCTTTGATCAGTAGTAAGATAACAAAACAGAAGATCAATTATTTTTGTATTTTTGTAATCTGAAACATGTATCATAGACAATCATTTTAAATGCAGAGCAAGAACACTTGCCTCAATGGGTTAGGTTTGTCTATTTGAGAAGGTGGATCTGGGCTTACTGTTTGCACCAGTTTCCGCAGAGAAAACACAAACTTCTCTTGCAGCCATAGGTAGGGGAGTCATTAGGCTTCTGTCCGATAACAATAGATACGGAAGGGTCTAAGACAACTCTTAAACATTATTTTACTTTTTGTCCTCTCTGTGTAGAATTTCTTCTGTGTCATGGCTATATATAGTGTCCTTGTATGAAGCGAATCATGAAATGATCGTGTACATATTAAAATTTATGTTTTCTGCATTCCGTAATGCATTCATGACATGCAACAGGGAAAGCTTAGAAGTAAGAAATGACCTCTATTTTCCTGTTGCGGACCTCACCTCAATGGAATAGGAAAAGTGTAACAGAATATTAGAGGGATCAAACTGAAACGATGACATGGTAAAATGAACAGGGAGCTTTGTGACCTTTACCTAAATACTATGAGAAACACATGGCATGGTACAGTCTAAGGCAGACCCAAACATGAACATCATTCGGTCGATCCTTGGAAAACAAATAGAAAGCGGTGAAGACAGAGAACGGAAATGAAACCAAGACCAAAGGAAGGAAAATCAAAATACGCCTGGAAGACGCAATGCCAGTACTATGACGTAGCAGGTTTTGTACATTTAATGTTTCGTATGGATTCTTAGATATCTCCTGGAGTTGTTCCACGTGCAATTTCACCAAACAAGTAAAAAGCTAGTTGCTCCAAGGTTGGAGCCCCGAAAACGAGCTAAAGACAGGCCAAAGGCAGCAGGTGGATCTAAAAGGAGTAACTTCCACCATCTCCCTCTCTCAGATCTATTACGAGAACTTGTTCTACTAAACAGTTTCAACTCTGCCATTAAAAATGCCCGTGGAACTGGAAAAAACTGATCTACACTAAACGGGCCTAAGGGTCCGTTTGGATGCGGATAGGATTTTACAATCCCAAAATAAAATCCATAATCCAATCCAAACAAGGAGGCTTCTATGGGATTCTACTGTATTTTCACGTAATCCAAAGCAACAATCCAATATCCTCCATTGGGTTTTATTTGGCTGCACACAAATCCACATCAATCCACGTGGAACCACGTGGATTGAGGTGGATTTGTGTGCAGCTAAACAAGCCCTTGATGAGCTTCTTGGGGATTTAGTATGAGAATAGACGATTTTACCCCTGCTTCAACCTTTGACTGCATACATTGTGTTGAAGGAACCATGGGTATTTTAAACATTTTGCTTGTACTATGAAACCAGTGTCAAGAATATAATCCAAGGATCAAACAAACCAGATTATTACTATTCAGAATCCAAGTTCTTAAAATCACTATCTAGTATCTAGAATTCAATAATCCGTGGAGGATCCAAACGGGCCCTAAGTCTGAGGGCTCCAGCACTCCAGAGAATTTACTGAACTGCACTGCAAGTCTACAATGCTCTACTCTGAACAAGAACCCACGATGCCGTCAGTCTGCGGGCGCATGCTGTACTAGCTCACAGATTGTCCAATTGAATCTGAGCTTCACTACAAGAGGTTTCAGACAAAAAAAAAATACAGAGCGACCAAATCCAAAGCATTTGAGTCGCAATGATATTCACACAACCACGTCACCGATCGCTAGGAACGAAGCACGAACCATGAATCACACCAAAATAATTTCAACAGAATCTAACTCAAATCCTTCTGCGCACACACCTTGAGTGGTAGCAGTAGCACCCAGACATTCAGTGTGAAGCTGTGAACAGGGTCAGATCGAATGGCTAGCCATCAGCATTTTGGCAGCCTGCAGTGTTAGAGATTAATCTTGTCATTAGAGCATTGCATGTTTACGTTGTCAGTTGCATTTAGAAAATAATTGTCTGTGTGTAGTTCTCTGCATGTTTACATAGGAGTATACACGTTTGGTGAGAAGCCATGCCATGTGAAGTGGCAGTGCATGCTCGTGATAATTGTTGTAACATGTTTAGGCTGCACGAGAGATTAATTAGGAACTAGCCATGCATAGGATTCTATTCTGGGTCAAAGCCACGAAGTGTTTTCATGGCGGAAGAATAGGACGGCGTCCAGGGACTGGGCACTTGCATGCTGCTAGCATGTTTCCACGGTTGCACGTTGCGAGATGCAGCGTGAGTCTCGGCTGAGTGATTTTGGCTGGCCGTTTATTTCATGCATGTACTTGAGTTTATATATGAATGAAAAGCGACGGGAGTTGTGTGGCTTGCGTCAACAAAAGAAAACTGCTAGCTTGTGCCATTCTGTACGTGTGCGTGTATCTACCAAAGAGAGCAGGCGAGTGTTTGCGATAAACACTTGCTGGTGAGGGAGAGAATTCCAACAATTGGTTCCAACATGCAGCACGTATCTCAACATTGCCAATCACTGTGTACAATTTGTATCTCCCACATGCATATTTTGGCATCCTGAATCATAACATTGTCAGATCATGCGTGCTAAGCATGCATGTGAATAGAACTGTTAGGTGAGCTCTCTAATAAAGTTTATACTCTACGCAGCACTCTCTTAAGTGCATCCACGACAACGACAACTACTGCTATCTGGACAAGGTTATGCTGATGCTCATGTCGCAGGACGCCGACATCTCCGTGCCGACGGGGCGCACGTTGAAGTACGCCGGCTGCTTCGGCTCCGGGAGGACCGCGCCGTCGGCGCTGCTCAGCATCCTGACGACCTCGTCCATGGCGGGGCGGTCGTCCGCGCTCTCCTGCACGCACAGGAGCGCCACGTGGACATACCTCTCCATCTCCATGGTGTAGCCATACTCCCCTTTCCCTAAGCTGCGGTCCACCAGCTCCGGCCATTGCCCGGCTCTCCACAGCAGCCATGCCTGTGCAAGAAAAGTAGAGCAGATGGCTATCACAAATTTAATGTGCCTTGTCTCTGTCGAACATATGTAATCATCTTCAGCAGACAATGTGATAAGATTTATATCTAGTAGAATGTATATATTACTAACATATGCGATTAGCTTGTACAGTTTGCCATCGAATCTGTAGGAGCCAGTGGTCATGGTGCCGCTGATGATCTCCAGGAGCAGCACACCGAAGCTGAAGACGTCAGACTTGACCGAGCAAACTCCATCCGAGGCATACTCCGGAGCTATGTACCCACTTGATGATAATATATACAACACAATCATTGAAGTTAATTAATATTAAAATGGATAATTGGAGATATTCTAATGTAATAAACTAAACTATATATACAAGTAAACTTCGGATTTGTCTTTGGATCGACTCTACTTACTGTGTGCCCACAATTCGAGTGGTGTTTGACTCGGCCACGCTAGAGCTGAATATCCTGGCCATCCCAAAATCAGAGATTTTAGGGTTCATCTCGCTGTCCAAGAGAATGTTGCTGGCTTTGAGATCCCTGTGGACCACGCAGAGGCGCGAGTGGATGTGAAGGTAGAGAAGCCCCTGGGCTATCCCGTCGATTATATTCAGACGTTTGGGCCAATCTAGTGACGCTCCTTTTTTACTGTCTGATGAAGAAGACATGCCATGCAAATAAAATGTGCACGGTCAGAGTTAGTTTAGACTGATGAGAAAATAAAATTTCATAAATTTCACTGGATAAGAATTGGTTTTTATTAGACGACGACTTTGCCATCAAGGAAAAAAAATTCCCCCATCAGAAAATTCAATTTCAATGGAAGCACATCATTTCATTTCTCGAGAATTTCTTATTTCTCATCAAGGAGAAGAACTTATTGGGACAAGTTTTCAAGGAAATCTTTTGGCACACTACATATATATACATACCGAATATGATGAGGTCTAGGCTTTTGTTTGGCATGTACTCATAGACCAGAATCTTCTCGTGCTCCCCTTCAATACAGCAGCCCAGCAGCCTGACTAGATTCCTGTGCTGAAGCTTTGCAATGAGCTGGATCTCATTCTTGAACTCTAGCAAGCCTTGCAAAGAACATGGGCCAAGTCTTTTCACTCCTATTTCAAGTCCATCAGGCAGCACTCCCTGACAACATCAAACATATATATACTACTTGATTTGAAGACAGAGCAAAGGACTTATTGTGAATGTCTGTGAACATCACTGAAAATGGCATAAATATACCTTGTAGACAGCACCGAAACCACCTTGTCCAAGTTTGTTTTCAATCGAAAATCCATTAGTAGCGCCTTTCATCTGAGAGAAATCGTAGAGCGAAAACCCTGAGTTGCCTTCTTCCAATCTCCAGAGGCTGATCACATTTTTAACAGCAATAGCCAACCTCCGTAATTCCGACCGCGCTAGTTCTGATCACAACAGGTTGGTAGAAATTCGATGATCAAGGTTCAGACAAAGGAAAAGGGGGATTTTTTTTTTGAAATTTCTTTGTGAGTTTATATAAACGCGAGAAATTATACCTCGCTTTCGCCGTAGTTTGATCCATCTATGGAGAAGAAAACTAGCAGACAACAAAAGTAGAGAAACAACGGCTATGGTGGTCCAGAGCCAAGCCTTGCTCGCTGCGTTAAAACCAAGCCGGAATTAGATCAATTCAAATGAACTGTGAAATGTGCTCATGTTTAATTTGTAAAAAAGAGCTCTTTGTCCCCTATATGTACTCTACCATTCTCAAAATAAATATCATCCAGAGTCTTGTAGTCCACTTTTGAAATATTTTGTTTGCTAATTTACACAATATAAATATCGTTTGTCATGGATAGACATGATATGATCAGTAGTTTGTCATGAAAGCCACTTTATATATCTGTATTTTCAAGTCATCTTTGCTAATCTACATTTAGAAAACAAATAGTTTGATAATGTCGTTTAATTCCATTATGTGAAAACGGAAAAAAATGTTAGTGCGTTTTGGATGAAAAAAAAAAAGGATTACATACGTTTGGCCTGTTTTTGCTTGTGCAGGTCGACTGATAAGTCGGCGGTGTTAAAGAAGGTGTCGTCTGTCTCGTACCGCACGGTGCACCGCGGCACAAGGATCCTGCCGCCATGCTGCCCGCTGGGAAACGTGGCCGGGAACGCCGAGATGAGGCCGTCGAGGCACGCGCGGCACCGGTCCGGCGACATGTCGACGGTGCACTGCACCAGCGCGAACAGCGTCCGGCGCTGCTCGTCGAACCACGACCGCCCCGTGGCGTACCTGCCGGGCTTGCCCGCGGCGACGCCCGCGATGGTGGTGACCAGCTCGCGGACGAGCGCGTCGAACCGGCGCGCCGCGTCGGCGGGGGTCACGAAGTTGGTGTTGTTCCCGGCCCACTTGGGCGCGTTCCCGCCGTCGGTGCCGCCGGATACGAAGTCGGCGCCAGAGAGCCGCAGCTGGTAGCGGTCGTAGAAGAGTGTGATGTCTCTCAGGCGCGGGCCGCAGCCGAACGCGTTCTCGGAGTCGTTGATGGCGCTGGACAGGGCGTCGCGGAGCCCCCGCGCGCAGGCGTCGCCCCTGAAGTCCCCCCGGCAGAGCGCGAGGCCGTAGGCGGCGTCGGGCGACGCGCCGGCGGCGCCGACGGCCGAGCCGTTGGCCCGCGCGCCCGCGACGAGGATGTTGGTCAGCGCGTTGAGGTTGGACCTGTAGGCAGCGTCGCTGCTGTTGCCCGCCCCTGCAGCCGCAGGCATGCCGCACTTGTGGCCCAGGATGGTGTCCTCCGCGGCGGCTGGCGCCGCCTGCATCGTCGCCGCGTAAGCAACCAAGGCAATGGCGAGGAGGCGGCGGCGGACGCTGTAAGCCGACATGCTGGCGCCGCACGTACGTGTATTGATCGAAGAGACCCAGACGTCTAGGGCGTGTACCTTGGTAGCTGAAGGTAGTAGCAACTAGCAAGGTACAGGTACGTAGTTGGCAATTTGGCATGGAGATCGTCGTTCATGTTCGTGGAGCTCTTATAAGCACGGATCGGAGGTTGCTGTTGATATTTTTTGTTGGCTGCTGCTCTAAGCTCTATCATCGTCGATCCAGAAATGTAATAATCCAGCATCATCAGCATGGACCAAGGCATATAGTTGACCAAGATAATTTGGTAGAAAAACCTCGTCCGATCCCGGCCGGGCTCTGTTGAAAACAATGAAACCGTGAGTTTTCTTGTTGCTTACCTCATATTATATTTAATGGCGCTCTTGCATTTATACCCTTATTTTGAATTGAAATTGTGATTTTACCCCTTTTTTAACTTTGTGAATTTGCCCCTGCGTTTTCAAAACGAAGCACCACTTTGCCCATATTCCGTCATCATCACCTAACCGTGTTAACTTTTATACAAATGACAACTATGCCCATGTGATTTTGCCCCTGGTTTTCATAGTTGTTTGTGATTTTACCCCTGATTTGGAATAAGACATTTATATTGTATTTTAACAAAAAAATGGTTATATTTTATCAAAGATATTTGGCACAATTTGCAATGATTTCAAATTAATTCATCCTCAAATAAAATGAACCATGTGGTCTACATCATGAGCCAATCGGGGTGTGGATGCTTCTAACAAATTAAACGATAATGTAGTGATTGCTACTGAAATCCACATTTCCACACAGCCAGCAGGCAACATACATCGTCACATTCATCAAACTAATCTTTACATAAATTATCTACTACTAGTAGGCAGTAGCTAGCATTCATACGAATATGAGCAGGTCAGCCTAAACTGCAGAGGTCGCCCCTCCGACTGCAGCTCTAGCAGGAAGCTACGCCTGGCCCAGGGCCGCCCCTCCATCACTGGCAGCTCCAGCGAGGAACCGGCGCCTACCCTGCTGCGGTGGCTCCAGTAGGCTGCTGCTCCTATCCCACCGTCGCTCCTCCAGCGGGCACCAGGCAAGGGCGGCGCGGCAGGCGCAGGCGAGTGAGCTGGTGTGCCGCTGGCCGAGGCCGCCCCACCTCCACCGCGCAAGGTGGAGTGCGAGCAGGCCGGACCACCACTGGGCGAGGCCACCCTGCGTCCTCTGCGTGAGGGGCAGCGCAGCAGCCGGTCTCGGGCGCCGGCAGGAGAGGCCGCCCCGCGTCCTCCGCGCGATGGGGCGCATGGCTGCCGCCTCGGCCCCTCGCGTCCGTCGTCGCCTGCGCTGCCGCCGCCGTTGTACCCCGCCTTGGAAGCGCCCCTGACGCGGTCGCCGCCGCCGGACCCCTCCTCGGATGCGCCCCCGATGCAGCCGTCGCCCGCGAGAAAGCCCGCGCCTGCGTTTTCCTTCTGGTCGGATTGGGGGGAGAGGCTGATAAGGGGCAGCTTGGTCTTTTTCCTTTTGTGTTTACAGATTTTATATTTTTTAAACTATTTATTCTATCCTTATCTAACGGACATCCAAAGCTAAGGGCAAACGGAGGATTCGTTTTAAAATAACGAGGACAAAATCACAAAGTTTAAAAAACAAGGATAAAATCACAGTTGGACTACTGGAGAAGGGCAAGAACATAATTTTCTCATATTTAATTAACAAGCATTAATTACTTGAAGAAAGTGCTTAGTACCTGCATACATAGCTATCACGCGAAGACTAATAAAAGTTCAAAAATACTGTATATTCAGCTTGGTGCATGCATCTGCATACATCAGTATGCAGGCTCTCCTGTCTTCTCTCTTGAATCTGAGCCCTGATCCCTGAGTCCCTGACCCTGAGGCAGTGGTTATCAAGATGGTCACGGTGTTGCATTGAGTGTTGGCGAGTAGCCAACAAGGCCCAAATTAATAAGATGAGCATGGTATTTGACTTCAATATACTGTATCACTTGGAATCGTCAGTGATGGGGAAATATGCGAAGACTGTCACTGGCATTTATCAGGAAGTTAACGCGTACTTACACTGGCATTATATGTATCTGACGTCTGATAACCAAGATAAATCTGGCGACTCGTTGTAGACGTACTGAAACAGGCCAGGTCCAGCCATGGGTCACAATTCAATCTTAACACAAAGTGAGGTAATACACAGTGGCTGCAAGAAATTGCCAAGAAAACAAGTCATGTGTTGTTCAAAGTCTGCTACCTTGAGTGAAGTGGATGATGTGGATGTCTGTGGACCGGTTCACCGGATGGTAGCTACTTAGTAGAAGCGACCGGCCACCGTCGGAATTGCAGCATGGGCTCTCAATGAAAACAGTTGCAATTGTCCCGACAGACCCGCTCTATCTCGCTAGCTAGTCCATGTGAGAATGAGGTCGACGCAGCAGTGATCCGTATTTTCATTTACATATATGTTCTATATATTCCCCATTGGCTATGAATACGACATCCTCTAAACAATTCCATGTGCCCAGCCCATCCAGTAGAAACAAGCAGGCTATGCGCCTCAGCGGCTCAGCGCATGTTCCCTCGATCTTGCATAGAGGACGGCCGGAGCTACAAGGTCTAAGAACAAGGACGGCATACTCGAGAAAAGAACAGAGCGATCTAGAACGGATCGACAAGGCGATGGGATCCATCCATGGAAACATGGTACGGTACACTCACCTGTGAGCAGGGCTGGATAACGAATCAGCTCGTCTCAGCTCGGCTTGGCTCAGCTTGTGCTTAGCTCGTTAAAGCTCGTTA